GTGTGCTCTCTCTCTCTCTCTCTCTCTCTCTCTCTCTCCCAATCATTGATTCAAAATGCAGCCTGCCCAATGCCTAGGCAGGATGGGGGGCCTGGGCGCACCACCCCTGCCGAGGCAGGTGCCCAAGGGACTACACCCAACTAGGTGAAAAAATACCCATCGAGTGGGGTAATTTTGGTTTTTTTTTTTTGGATTATAAAAAATGCATGAATATGCATATTTTGTACAAAATATGTACCTAAAATAGGGTTATTGGACACCATTTGCCCCTTTTTAACCTAGGCCACCCAGAATCCGCCTAGGTGCTGGGTGGCCTAGACCCCCCCGGCCGTCTAGGTGCCGCCCAGCGTTTTTTGGAACACTGGTACCAATCCCCCTAAAGAGAAGAGAAAGGAAATAGGTAATATTTTTCGCAAACAATTGGTAAAGACTGCATGAGAATGCATAGTTATGAAAATGATATGTACAAAGATGAAGAAATTTTGATTACGCTTCAGGTACATATGTCTATATGGCCCCAGAAGTAATAAGATGTGAACCATACAACGAGAAGTGTGATGTGTTCAGCTTCGCCATCATATTAAACGAGTTGATCACAGGGCAACAACCTTATATAGACTCAACTTATTGCCCCACTAAGGTATGATTACTCAATACCCATTGGATTATGGTCTACCTTCTATTCAGGAAAGGATTTTTAGGATTTGGATATGGATGTTTGCTGATTTCCAAATCATAATAGCTCTCATATTTTGCTTGAGAATTGAAACTTCACTAACAACCTGAAACGCTTCCAAGAAGTTGAAACTTTATACCTAGCTTGTGACTAGTCTCAATTTTTACCCACAGATAGCCCTTGAGGTCTCTGAGGGAAATCTCAGACCTACTCTACCTGAGGATGATGGAACACTAGGAGAGCTCATCAAACTCATCTGCCATGCATGGGATGAAGATGCCTCTAGAAGACCGTCATTTGCAATTATCACCTGCCTCCTTAGACGTGTTCAACTTCAACTCACAGAGACCATCTACCCCATTTTAAGTGTACCAGAGTGAACATGCCCATGGGCTCAACTCCAGCTAGTCTTAGACCATCTGTCAGTCAAAACAGATGGTGGATGTTGCCTTGGATCACTGTATCCATATGCCAAGAGGCAATGGGACTCTATGTTGATTCACTCTCTCTCATCATCACAGATTTCTCAAAATTTCAAACAACGTTGTAGAGGAAATGGTGCTCTCTCAGTTTGTGATTCTAAAGGTTTTGTGCTTCCCAATTTATCCACTATTTCGATCAAAAACAGAGATGATTGATGAACTTTTCGATATGATAAATTAGTTGAATATAACCTTGCCCATATCCTTTCAATGCCATGCAAGCCCTCGGAGCCTGTGAGGGTGTCAAGAAACCATAGTTGTTGGAACTGATTCCGAATCTGAATCTATTTAGGAATCGGAATTGTGGAATCACCGCTGACTACAACATTTTTGTTCTCGTTATCAACATCCGTACAAGAGGAATCGTGGGAAATAAGATTCTTATTTTGTAGGAATCGAGATTCAACCAAAATGGAATTGAGATCCCTACATAGATATAATCGAGATTCGTAGTTCTACAAAATCGAGTTTCTGACCTATTTGGAATCGACCAATATAGAATCAAGATTCCTTAATTTATAGAATTGAGATTCCAATATTTTGGAATCGAGATTCTTAGGCATTTTGAATTGAGATTCGTAACAGTTTGGAATCGAGATTCGACCCAAATTGGATTAAAAATTCATAGCAATTTGGATTGGAGTTTTGACCTATATGGCAGCCGAGATTGGCAACCCCCTTATAATCAAGTATCAAACAGACCCATGTATAAATAGTGACAGATTTAAAAGTCAGTAGGAGATTACATATTCCATGAATTAAAAAATAACACACATGGATAGAGATTTTAACATTAAATGACAGTTGAAGATTACATATTGCATATAATTAAAAAATAACATATACAATGCCTTCAATACAGAACTTTCATTGCACGCTAATGGGAATATTGCCCAAAGTGAGAAAGAGGCCCCAGATGGCCACAATCTACTCCAAGTATACACCTTATACCCAAAATGGAGAGTAACAGTCAATAGAAAATTATGTATCCAAATTTTATAAAGAAGAATATGCTTCAAATAAATTGGACAGCAAAGTATGCAATAGAAAAAATAACTGCCGCCAAAGTTCCATAGTTAAAAGAGAATAACAAAACATACACTTACCAACTTTTAGGTTTGGAAAAATTCAGTGACTTGCAGAAAGGAGATAAATTGTTATCTTAATGGTCCTTGCTGGGTGTCTAGTCTCTCTAAATCCACAAGCTTGTATAAGTCTCCCCGCCTTTGTTTCTCAAGTGGGAGGTTGGTTCTGCAGAATATTTACATAACATGTGTAAGTTGTGACACGAAGAGAAGTGCATACGTGTATAATCTAAGATATACCTTCTCAGTTGAATCAGATAATAGTCTATCTCTGCTATGAGTGTTATCTCTTGGTACCCAGCTTTTGCAATTATTTCCCCAAACTGCAAGAGAAAACCAAAGTCCTACCGATCAAACACAGGAAACAGAAAATGTAAAATGCATTTGAGTCTCATGATTTCACTCACTGGCCCAACAAGGGTAGAATGGCCCCAAGCAACATAGCTGGCATCAACATCACAGGCAAGTGAGCAAGTGGCCACAAATAACTGCCAATCGAAATGCTCAACAATAAATATTATCCACAAATCTTAAGATCAGAAATATTCAGAGAGAAAAAAAAAGAAAAAAGTAGTCTGTCATTCAAGGTTTTCACATGATACCTGATTATCAGCAGCCCTAGAATATCAATTCAAAGAAAAACAACAATCAGTTTTTGAAAGAAAAAAAAGGAACAATCATCCAGAATTAGAACACTGAAAGCATGAGAGAATACAATGCAGCTCATAAGATCCTTCTTTTGCTTGCAAATTTCAAAGAGCAGCTCTTTAAAAGCCAGGACACCATAATTTGACCCTAAGAAATTTTACGACTTTTAAATATCAAAGTTCATTCTCAGGCAAGTCAATATGAGATTGGGTGAGCCAGATTTTGATTTGCCCACTTTTATGACTTCTACCTATCTCAATTTGTCTTTGATGGTGGACCTAGAACGTGAAAAAAAATGAGTTCTAAGCACTATCAAGTCACTTGGAGTTGTGTGGTCATCATTTGAACCTTCTTCACCTCCCAATGCATTCTTTACCACGTAAATATATAATTTGTACATTTAGAATAGGGAAGTTTACTGAAAGATACCAATTTATTATCGGAATTTAAAAACAATCCTCTATATTCAAATTTTACATTCAAGTCCACTTTTGGAGACTAGGTATTGTAATTTAAGTGTATTTTAATTTTATTTTCTATATATTGGATTAAGCTCAAATTTGGGTATCACACACCTTTAAAAATGATAAAAACTAGTTCAGTCAAATAATGACCAAAACACTATCACTTTTAAGAATTAATCACTGCATCTCTTGTAAGAATCAACCACTGTCTCTTGACAGCAGCACAAGCATAGAAGCACAAGCAAAGCAATTCAATATATTACTAAATATGTTTGATCACCTTCAATCTCCACAACGACATACTTGTCGTGTGCATGTAGGAGAATCCGACAACCAACACACTAAACACATGTGTCCACATGCATACAGGCATGGGAAATCACATGTCTTGTGATTTGGACAAGCGTATCCTAGATTTGTACCCACATAGTTTTTAATATGTATACACACGTATGCGTGGTACATTGTGTAGTATTAGACTTGACAATGTACCATGTCCTTGTACCATAGCCTGCAATGCATGACAAACAGATGTATACAGAGGCAAAAACCTAGATGGAATCCAGTGTACTACAGATTATTACCGGGCCCGCTGAATTAACTCCCATAACAACTGACCAGTACTCATGTTGAAGGCTCCAGGATAGCATATCAGATGAGCACCTGAAATCCAATTATACATTGGATTTATTAGGTTTTCAAAAATCAATCACTATAGAAGAGTAGATTAATTCGGCAGCAATTAAAAGAGAAAGAAAGCAAGGATTTTGTTACCATTTTTCCAAGAAATAGATATGCAAACCACAAAAAAAGAAATAGACATGCCATAATTAATGACTAATTTTGCTCTAGCAAGATATATAATTAATGGAAATCAGTGTTTTAAAAAGCGCACTGCCCAGCACCTAGGGGGCCGCCTAGGCGGTCCAGAAAGCCTAGGCGATGCGCCCAGGCATAGGCGGATACCCCTAGGCATCCGGGAACTTGCCTAGGCAGCCGCCTGAACCAGCCAAGGCGGCCACCCAAGGCATGCGCCCTACCCAGGGGCGGAAATGCCGCTTGTTGAGGGCATTTTTGGGTCATTTTTTTAATGCTAAAGGGGAAAATTATGGGTCTTAAGTTTATTTGAAACCTAAAATCCATTAGAGCGTATTTTAGAAAAAGAAAAACCTAAAAAAAAAAAAATTCTACTGGGCCGCCCAAGTTTTGGGCGCTTTTTGAAACACTAATGGAAATACTAAATGATTATTAGTGGCCAGATATATAACTAAGGATTATGTTAGGATACTCATACATATGAGTATTCCCTTAATGTACTCACCGTTTTTGGACACTCATATACCTTTGTTTTGTAAGACAAAATTTTTTGAGTAAGGGTATTTTTCGTCATTAGTTGTAGGATAGATATTTCTTTAATAAACTAGTGCCATTGATTAGTGGTTAAGAAGCAATCATTGTTCCATGTGGGTGATGTTATCCTCCACTACAGTTAATAAATATTATTTTTTCTATTTTGAATTTCTAATTTGCCTTTGGATAATTAACTAAAATACCCCTAGACAAAAAGTTACTACACTATTGGGTACGGGTATTAAATGTCCAAAAATGTCGAATACATTAAGTAATACTCACATGTATGAGTACCCTAACATAACCCTATAAATAATAGACAAGGGTACACATCATAACTGCACTGGTTCAGCCGTTCAACATTTTCCTTTTCCTTCATATATGATTCTTCCTCATACAGTTTAATATTTCATTTGTCTCAACTAGTCTACACACTTCAGCAAAAGGAAGTTGTCCCATTTCACCGTCGCTGCCATCATCTCCACCACACAAGTACAAGCACAATAAAAAGTAAAAGCAAAGGAGAAAACATAGAATTGAGATTCCTACATAGATGAAGTTATGTTCAACTTTTAAAAAAATCATTAAATTTCTTGAAACACCATTTGAATCCAAGAACTCCACAACAGACGAAGTTTATAAGGTACAACAGAAACCTCTAGCTTCATATAGCATTGCCAACTCTGGAAAACGAATATCATGACAAATTCCTATCCCAATACGTCCTACATCTGCATTCAAAATTAAACAGCAAGTTAGTCCAGCTATCATGATATTCAAAGGCATTTAACTAATATACAAGACAAAACTATTGAATTATGGAACGATATGTGAAAAACAACAAGTAATCACTAAATTGAATAAGGCAATGTGACAAGATGCATATATCAAAAGATTTTAAAGATATTAAAATAGCTATGGCTGCAAAAGGATTTTATGAATTTTTAAACTTTTACAATATTGTAATCAACAATGGTTACATTAAATTAAACCAGTAGGAGTGTGAGCAAATTTCATTTAGCCCGCCCTAACTATGGCAAATAACTTTGAATGTGTTAATGAGCAAGACATAAATTTATCTAGTGACAACAACTCTCACCTCATTAGGAGTAACAGTAGAAGTATTTGCATAATTAGGTGGAATGCCTTCAATAGCAAGCTTAATATCCAACTTAGGGCCTGTTTGGATGACAATTAACTTTGCCTGAAATGGATTATCTTATTTAGAATTAATATACTCTTGAGTAATATTATTTCGTTACTTGTTTAGCTATCTAACAGTTTTGGCAATTTTTAGTTATATGGAGCTATTTTTGGCTAAAAAATGTGTGATTTTCAAATAAATTACTTTGAATAAAGTAACAACAGCTTTTCAAAAAGTTAAAGTATATGTAAAATTATATGCAAGTTTATCATGGATAACTTGATGATGAGCACTGCCAAACAATAGATAATGCATTATCAGGATTAACCTTATTGAAACAATGAATTATCAGTGCTAAGGAGTTTATCCAAATAGGTCCTTAATACAGTAGGATTCATAGCAGTAAAGAATAATACTTACCAAATAGTGATCCCTAACCTCTATTGCAATTCCTATTCATACCAGTGACTTGATCATGCCTGCTCTTGCCATGCCAGTTACACATTTGTCAGCTACATACTATTATTAACATGAGGACTAATTGCCAAAGGTATCTATCAAATATTGTACTCTCTAGATTTTCTTTGCACATAGCATATCCTCTAGATTCAAAATCAACTAAGTTTCAACCAGGCATTGTTTCTGAGGAAGACAGTGTCCCACGGCTTAGGAAAACTTTACAACAATACAAGGAACTACAAGATCATAAAATAATGTTGTTCTCGTTCTTGTTCTTCTTTTTTTTCTTTTTTTCTTTTTTTCTTTTTTTCTTTTTTTTGAGGGAACAGAATCATAAAATCTTGGGAGCGTTAAGGTGAAACGCTGCTTCACAACTACCACAGTTTCTAGTTCAATTAATTAACTCATTAGTAAGTCATAGAGTTACACAGGAAACACGAGAAAGCTTACAATTAATCAACTATTTCTTTTGAGCAATTCAACCAATATTAAGGAGGGGCATAACGGTGTTACTACCAAAGTTTCTAGTTCAATTAATTATTTCATTAGTAAGTTGTAGAGTTACACAGGAAACACGAGAAAGCTTACAATTGATCAACTATTTCTTTTGATCAATTCCTCCAATATTAAGGAGGGGCATAAGGGTGTTGCTACCACACAAATCATCTCATTATAGATAAAAATATCTAAACACAGTAGCAACTATCTGCATGTTACATTAACAAGAACGAAACTAACTGGCTAATCATATGTATAATGTGCGACATAAAATAAGCAAATTCATTAGGTTTCAACAACCACTATCCAACCAATTGGGCCTATGGTTGTAATAATAACCTTTGCAGTTTCTAGTGATACCTGTATCTACAATGGTCGGTTTCTCCCCAGCTGTTAAAGTATCAGATTCCCGGAATGTAATATCACCAGGAACATCAATGTCAAAGAGATGGACCTGCACATTTCACACCCTCCTAAGTACTAAACTTTAACCAAAGATCCTAAAATACATTACAAGAACATAGCTTACCATTTATTAAGAATGTAATAAAACAGGACATTGAAAATTCCGATAATAATTAGTTATAATTTTGAAACTTAAGAGTTATGACCATCCACAGTAGTACACAAAAACACTAAAACCAAGCTCAAGATATTTTACTTTTCGATGTTTAGCCATGAGTAACCCGTCACTGCCAAATATGCAACAAGAATTATATAACTGACCACAGCAATGCTCGGGTATCGAACCACCAACGATTGTAATCTCTCGACTACGAGCAACCTCTGACAACATTGATGTTGATGGAGATGCATCTCCACCAGTATCAATATCTTCAGCACATATACAGAAGTTCTCATCCGAATATTGACAATTCCACATCTCCTGTCACATAGGGCAATGACTCAATCATATGCATCATTCAAAAGTAAAATGGGATTTTGAGTAATTATCAATAAATGTGAGTGTGCGTAATCCATGAGTACATCAAAAACCTTCAGTCATTGATCATCACCATATACTGAAATAATGAGCAATAAGAAAATGATAGAGACATGGGTTTCTATTATGCTCTAGTGAATCAGATTCTCTGTTCATGACCATCCATCGTTTCAATGGATGGTGATGACCTAATGGATTAAAATGTTGGACTATCCATTCCAATGAAGGAGCATGAAGGAGAGAGAGTACGAAAGAAAGTGCATAATTGTCCAGTTGACTATGAAAAACCAAGGTCCACAAAGTCAGCACTATCCATTGAAAGGATGAATAGCGATGGAGCCCACTAGAACAGGGCAGCATGAACCCTATTAGCTGGTCCACCATCTCCATCGTCGTGCATCTTTTCAGTGAATGATAATGACCAGATGCTATGGTTTGCACAGTGTCCATTGAATTACAGTATATTTTGCCCTTGCTGGTATGGTTAAGGATTGAATACAGCTTAATCAAACAAAAAACAGCCATTTCTACATATCAGCATCATATATCACATCTCAGAAAACTATGAATGATAAAGCATGACCACAACTAACTAAAAAACTCCAGGTAAGTAAATTTTCTCTTTTTAAGTGATTCTTAACTCTAGGTAAAGAAACTTACAGGTAGAACTACAAGCTTCACACCCTTGTCTCAAACCTCTTCGATGATTTTGCGAGCATGAACAATATTATTTTCCTTATCCGGAGTAACTCGCAATTGGCATAGAGCTAACTTGAACTGATCATCAAATCCAATAACATTTTTCGGTCAAGTAGACCAGTGGAAATAATATATGCGTATATCCATAGAATGTCACATCTTTCATCCATTAACGTGTAATATAAACAAATAAATAAAAAATAAAAAGATGTGAGCTACAATATGAGATCAGATAATTTTTAGTTAGAAAGAAAATAAAAAATCAGTATAAATTCCTATGAATGATGCAACTGGTTTCAAAGCAATGAGGTTAGGGCCATTAAAACCCACTTCAAATCAAACTTACCATGAAATAAGTTTTTATAGAGAACAAAAGAGTACCAGAGAAGGGGAGAAAAACCTAATCGTGTGAGAAAAATGAGAACAAGCCCTAATTAAGTGGTGCAAAATAAATATTAAGTACCTTGGATAACCGAGCAGGAGATAGAGGGAGGGCAAGGGGAACCCTTGATGCTTCAGAAATTCAAGCAGAAGCCATCACTCCACAGAAGCCCATGAATTTGTTCTCACGGCGTTCAGTTTTAGGGCAAATGGGAGCGACAGAGTTGTGTGCAACTGCTGAAAAGAGAAAAAGAGTCAACGCTTTTTGAAAAAATGGCGGAACAAAAGATGGATGGAGCAAGAGAGAGAGCTTTTTTAAAAAATGGCGCAAACAAAATACGGATGGAGAGGGAGAGTCATCAAAACATGGATGTAAATGATGGTAAAATCAATGGCATGGGGAAAGCTTTCTATGTTCCGCAAGTTCTATGTTCCCCTTATCCAACTGTCCATTTTTCAATGGAGGGCTAAGATTGTCTCAATAACAATGTCTTGTTTCTACATTGTTTTTTTAAAAATATATTTTTTTATTTTTATTTTTTTATAAACTGATTTGACACCAAATTTTGAACGTCCATTCTTATTTTAACTATATTAAAATGGCACTCACAAAAAATATAAAAAAATTATTTTCAATAAAATAAAATAATCAAAATATCCCTAAAAGTTTCAAAAGGTATTTTGGCCATTATTTTTTATCAAAAAATTATTTTTAATATTTTTTTATAGGTGCATCCCAATGAGAAGATGGTACGCATCAAATTTCATATTCAAAACAATTATATTAAAAAAAACTAAAACTAAAATACTTTGAGACGTCAGATCTAAGATCAAACGGTGAGTGGCTCTCTTGATAAAAAATGGACGGCTTGATGGTAGGGAGAACATAGAACTTCTATGTTGTAGAGGGGAACATAAAAAGCTTTCCCCAAATCAATGGCCTAAATATTTCTTTACAAAAAAAATGTCACTTTTATTTATTTTGTTTTTTTTTTCACATTAATGATTGTAAAGATCAGGATTTTGAGATGGATGAGTAACACAAGAAGAGATAGAATTCAAAATGAATCTATTCTGGAAAATTTAGGTGTGGCACCCATCGACAATAAAATGCGAGTTAATTCAAGTGTAAAGATTGCAAATGGCAAAGAGTAAGCTCAAAAGGATGTGGTTGGAAATAGTCCAAACATATATGGGGACTTAGGGTCTCGCCTCACTAAGGGTATGGCATTTAACAAAACAGATTCATGTAGCTGACCCCAAATAATCAGAAAAAAATTATGATAATGATGATGACACATTAGGAATTGTATATTTTTAAAAATCTGGGTCAATATCACCATTATCATAAGAGCTATTTCCCAACTATTTGAGATTGATTACATGAATCCTGGTTGATCATTCTACTCTATCAAAGATAATACTCTCATTAAGGTCATAAGTCGCCATGTATTTTGTCATTACTTTCAACCATATCCTTTTTCGCCTAACCAATGTTTTTATTTTAGCCCTCCACTTGAACCAACTCGTACTTCCTAAAAAATATTGTACTTGGTCTTCGTTGTAAATGGCCAACTCATTTAAATCTACTTTCTCTCGTCATATCACCTATATAAGTTACTCCTAAGTTCTCCCAAATGTCACATCTCAACTATACTCTTTCTATGTGTATGTTGTTTCTTGACCTCTCAACTTTCTGCCCCATAAAGCAAAGCTGGCCTCACAATTGTCCTATGGAACTTCAGCTTCACATTCATTGGTATGCGATGATCACATAAAACTTTGATAGCACATCTCCACCTCGCCCACTAACTTTAATTCTATGTGCAATATTTTCCTCACTCTCTTCATTTTCTTGGATTATCGATCAAAAAATCAAAGTCAATTTTTATTTCAAAAATGGATTATTAAGGGGGTTGCATTTCTCCACATGAGTTCGCGGACTCATAGAAATGGCGTCCTTTCTTCAAAGGGTGCGGTTTCTATAAGGTTGCAACCTTAAACAATCTAATTAAGGTGCACCTCCAAACTTTATCATAACATGTATTTTTTGTGTTAAAAATTTATAATATTGTTTGAAAATCTATTTTCATATCTAATTATAAAAATTTAAACTCTAAAACTGGTTAAAATCAAGTAGATCTATAAACATATGAAAATCTTGAAAATAGACGGTCTAGATAATGTGTTGCAAGATGCATTATTTTTAGGACTCAAAATCTTTCTTTTTTTCATATTCATACATCTCAACATTGAGATGATCAATTAGAGAGTTTTTCAACATTAAAATAACGTTTTTCGATGGATTTTTGAGGTGCATATGTAGTTCTACATTTTAAGGTTGCAACCTTATATAAACTTTTCCTTTCTTCAAATAGGTATAGAGCGGGACTGAATTTCTTGTTTTTTCTAAAAAATTTATGCTCATGTCCTGAAAATTATTTCCCTAAATTTATTTTTTTTAAGTTCAAACATTTTTCAAATTTTTTTTTTTTTTAAATGCTCTTTTTATACGTTCAAGGTCTAAAGTGATAAATGCGCATGAGACTGGATCAAAGTTCTAAATTTTTGTTTTTTATTGTGGTCCAAAGTCAAGGTTTTATATTGTGGTCCATACTCAAGGTTTTATATTGTGGTCTGAAGTTGAAATAACTTCGGATCTTCATGGTCTGCAACCGTTTCGATAAGTATTGGCAGCAGAAAGTCGACACTTTCTCAAACTTTTTAGGTGAAGTGGCTTCAGATCTTTATCATTTCAAATCTGAACTTTCTCAAACTAAAAATTGTCTTCTTATTTAAGACTAGTGATTTAAATACGGATTGGGGACTTGGATCGGGAACCCCAAAAGCTGGTATAAATCGATGAATAGGCGGTTTGGATCGCTGTTTTATTGTACAAGAAAAAAGGTGAGCCGGCAAAAAAACACATGAAAAAATAGTGAACTAGCCCAAATCCAGTTCGGATAAGTGAATCGGCAGTCCGAATCGCCGTTTCACAATAGAGAATCGTCGTTTTACTATGTGGAACCGCAGGTTCCCTTCTAGACTTGGCTATTTTCCTATATATACGGAACTAGAATGGGGTGATCGATACATGTCGGACCGGGCGATTCCGTGCCGACCCGGCGTTTTTTAAAATCAGTGTTTAAGACTTTGGAGGTCCTCCAACATGGAAGCATTTTCATATAAAGGCTCATCAAGCCGAGCTTGTAAAATTAAGGGTGGGATGGGTCGGGTCCAATCTGAGTTGGGGGTCGGTTCTAAGAAAATTGGACCTGTACACAACCCATCAATCTGGGTTTATAAATAAATAAAATAAATAATATAT